ATGCTAATAACGATAATTCCACATCAATTGTAGTGGAAATATTTACTTTTCATTACCACCACGGTGGCATCGGCATTTTCTTTTGTAAACTTTACTTAGTTTAATTTAATTCATCACATCTGAAAGCTGTGTAAGTTGGAAAACTTTGTGTATATTTAATCTAATATATAAAATTCTCGTGTCACAGTTTTCGTTGCCATACTCCTCCAAAACGGCTCGACCGATTCTCATGAAATTTTGTGTGCATATTGGGAATGTCTGAGAATCGGACAACATCTATTTTTCATCCCCCTAAATGTTAAGGGTAGTCCACACCTACATATTTTTTTTTATTTTTAGATATTTTTTTGTTTTTATTTTTTTATGATACAGCATTAAAAAATACATACAAACCCCTAACTTTCACCCCTCTACGATCAACCCCTATTTTTTTATTATAAATGATATATATGGCAAAACGACGTTTGCCCGGTCAGCTAGTAAAGATATAGTTATCAAAAAGTATTTCTTAGCGAACTTATGAGTTATATGGGTAAATAGAAGAAAAATATCAACATCCATCGGACAAATTAGTGACAAAGCTATTTCTAGTAGAGAGAGAGACGTTAGATAGTTAATCTCGGCCGAGCCGTCTTAGGCCTTATTTGTATGTTGATAGATTAACTGTTTTGTTTAAAAACAAAAATGTTCTAAAATTGTTGCCAGTAATTCAAAGCTACTCTCGTGTCAGTACGCCCGGCTCATTCGCGAGGGATTTCCGATCCAAGCTGGCAGAATCTAATGAACGGTTCGTTTTATTCAATAAAACCTTATAATTTATTTGAAAGCATTATACGTTACATAATGTAGGAATTATCGTTCGTTCAAATAATAATCATCGTTTGCGAAACCTCTTTGGTATTATCTTTTTCAATTAACTTAGTTACAGCTATGTCAAGTAGTAAAGCGGGCTAACTAAAGCGCAGATGAAACAATAAATATGCTGATTCAGTATTTGCAGATAAACAATGTTAATTAGAATGAATAATGTGCAATACACTTTCAAAGGTGACATATTTACAATACCTTTTGCGATAAGCGGTAATACAATGTGAATGAGTATATCAATAAGCGGGCCGATAAGGACCTGATAACATTCGCTGTTGCCGAAAACACTTATCATTACTAAATCATAATGCCAAAATAGGGAAGCACTCTACGTGCTACTTTCGTGAAATGAGTTACCAAAGATTGCTAGCTTAGGTGGCTAAGTCAACATGTGCGTGTTGGTACAAAGGCTGTATTGTTGGCAATCGAGAGAGCCTCGTCTGCCAAGTCGTCGCATCTCGCCTTGGCATTGTCATTTACCTCTAAAACACTCTCGCTACATCGCGTCGTAGCCGTAGTACTACGGACTTGGTAGACGCTAAATGCAAGTCAATTTTTCTGACGGTGCAAAATAAATTAAGGCATTCGTATTAGAAGGATAAGAATAACTAAAATATTACTTTTTATTAAGGTGAGGCAGAAACGCTTTAGACGTAAAGCAACTACATATAACGTATACGGTCCACGTGCACGTGCGACTTTTAACAAGACGCCAGTAATGCATCTGATTATATAATGTTGAAATTTGGAGCCTCCAGGCGCGACCTGGAACAGCAAATCGATAAGAAATAAGAAGGCCTAAATATTGAGCAGCTTCAGATCGCAACTGGAAGTTTTTTGCAAGTCACATTTTACCAAAGAATCATATAAACGGCTATTAGCACGTTTTACGAGGGTTCCGCAGATACCGGGCGTCATAAAGTTTGTACGTCAGTAGTCAATAAGATAACTGGATCCGCGAGTTAACCTTTTTTACAGGCTTTCCATTCAATAGACGCTGTAGTCTTACAAAAAAAAGCCAAAGCTATTTCATATGGAAATGTTAGCTTATTAAAGCAAATAGACCAATAATTGCAATGTTTACTAACGAACATGGTAAACAATTATTATGGGAGCCGTAAAGTTTTTCACGTTTACCACAGCAACAGCCAACGCAGTTGGCGTTAGCCCAACCAGTTCTTTTACTTACGCGACTTTTATGAAATCCTCAGTGACACGAAACTTACCTGAAAGAAAGAAAAAAGATTAAGGAAAATGTTGTGTTGTATAGTAGTGAGAATGGTGCGAGGAAATAATGTTCTGTTTTCTATTCCTTTTTTAACTATATTCTAAAAATCCCTGTGTGTCGGGCAACGGAAAGATTTTTGGTAAAATATCTTATTTCCTAGGTCCATCAATTACGTTCGAACGAAACAAGTGGCTTGGTTTTCGGCCGCCCTCGTATATTTCTGTCAAAATAAATAAGTGTATCCCTGGGCCGTGGCATATTAATTGTTGAAATGGCCCCTTCGTGGTCGTCCCGTGGAATCTCCCTTCTAGTTGGCAAAAGTTGTGTTGCAATCTTTCCGTAGGTTAGGCGCGGTGGGATGGCGCTGTGCCAGCCGTGTCAATGTCAGGAGCACACTTTCACACGCACCCTGCTCCAGGATATTTTCACTTATTGGCCTTGTAATACAAGTTTGCGATTTACCCACTCCGTCTATCACTCAAGTGCAAAATAAATAAACAAAAGGTAGAGAAATGTATAACTAAACAAACTAAATGTGAATAACATGCGGACATTAAAAAACAACAATACCCTAAATTTATTATTGTTTACTTTGCTTTATTAGAAAAGATTGACAAACAAACTTTAACCCGTCGACGTTCGTTATTAAGTAGGCCCCACCTGTAGAACTCTTGAACCCACTTAGCGACTTAAAAAATCTCATTAAACAGTGAAAACGAATTTTAAACTCTCATTACGCTATACTCTGCTTTAGAGCTTTGAAATAATCTGCAAGCGCGCAGAGACGACGCTAATGATAGGGCAACATAACTGATTAAAAACAAACTTTCCCCTTTACACCATTACGGAAAGCGACCTTTGCAATATACGGCGACGGTCGCAAAGGCGGCTAAACTCCGATCCAAGCACATCAAGCAGTCTGGTGTGGAGCGTCGAATCGAAACCACGTATTTGCACTCGCTCTTAATTCCGGGGAAGAAGACACGAAGTTTAAGTGCTAGCTGGCCACTGGTAGTGTGTGTATTAAAAGTGTATTGTGTATTATAGTGCGCGGCGGTTTTACAAATGGAAACAGCGTTGTGGTAAATATTGACACAATAGCTCAACGGGTACCACGGATTAGTGGCGACGACCATCTCGATGCTATTTACTATCTCAAAAGCGTTTATCAAACTCATTATACATTTTCTTCGAAATATTACACCTTAAAAGTTATTCCAACAAATACTGAAATATCTGAGCGAGCTTTAATGTTTGACATAGTTTTTTGCCACGAACCGGTCGCGTTGCATAGAGATGGAAATTAAATTGGTCTTTTAGAAATAATTTGAAGCTTCCCTGAGCGCCCTTACGTAAGCATCCAGTGCCAACCCCGCCTCAACTTATGTAACCGAACCGTTTCCACTCTCATTTTTCCTATTTCAATTCTCACTAACAAAATGAATAACGTTATTCTCATTTCCACGTTACAACTAGAAGTTTAAGTGGATATGAATTTTTCGAACAAAGGTTAGGTTGACCTTGAATATGGTATTATTATTAATGTCCGGAGCGCACCAAACTAAATTAAGAGCAAATTTTGATCGGGCTTAACGTGCAAATATCCGCCGACACCAGAGGCACGTTCCTCTATAATTGAATGCAAGGCGCTCGATAATCAATATCTCCCAAAAGGGGAGCTTTAACGTATTTATATAACACAAACAGATTTACAGATAGTGTTTGCTGCCTTTAAATAACTGCAACGAGAGCAGACCGATACAGTGCGAAGACTGACAGCCAATATCTGAAAGCAATACATGTTGAAAAGCCATCAACGTCGGTCATCGGTAAAATTTTTTATTGCGATATCAATACGAAAGGGACACAGTAGTTTTAATTAATTAGTAAACATTTTGCATATTCCCAAAGTATTTAAAACAACAACATTCCCTACTAATATGAATCTTTAATATTAGATACAAAGAAATTATTATTTTTTACACGGCGTTGTTTAAGAAAATTTGATTTGATTGATCGATTGATGCGACGATAAGCTGCTTAGCGAATCTAAGCAGCTTATCGTCACTTTAGTCATATTATAGTTAGAATTTAAATTTCACACGGATTCGGCATCTTTGTGTTGCTGACTCAAAAGTGGCTCCTAACAAATAAAGTTGTCTTTAATTGCTATTGTTTCAACTAATTAATGAAACGATTTCAATGGCAAATATATTTTAGATTGGTATAAATGACTCAAGTCGTAGATGGGCTAAATAATGCCTCAGATTAGTCACGTTTAACGATAGGCGGCAACGAAGAAACGTTAGATAGATTATTACGTTACATTCGTGTAATTACAACTATTTTTTAAGTGAAGTGAAATTTGAAAGTGAAAACATAAATATCCTATTCAATCTTTTTTCGAACACAAACCCAACGAGAAGAACGACTAGTAGTAAAAATATATAACTTTTCAAGTCGTTTTATGTTATGTCGCAGTGGGACAACATATATTTACGATGACATCTTCCATACAACAATTTACTTACAGTACTTTAGTTATTTAGAAGAAATTACGTTACGTACACGTGTCGGATTACTGACGATTGAACATCGGCGCGGCATATTGATGAGCAAGAGGCTTGTACAGACTTCTTTTGCTTATCGAAACTTTGCATATCTCCTGTTTCAACTGAGGCACCACTGTATTTTTTCATCACAGCAAAATAAAACATTTGAAGAAAGTACGATTTTTCTAAAATATAGGCCTCGAGACTTTCACTTTAATAGACAATTTTCACGTTTCCATTGATTCTTCTCGGAAGCTGGAAATTGTACACTCTTCGAGATTGTTAAACTTGTCTGCGATTCCAGGCGCGAGCCTTGTTCAAAATGAGCGGAGGCCGACAGGAGCGGTGATGGCATGGACTGGGCAACGGGCAATGACAGCGCGGCCGTCGGCAACTCGACGGAGCCGATTCCGCCCGATCTCTACAATTACTGGGCGTGGAGCATCGTGGACGGTGCGCTCATGGTGCTCATCATCAGTGGCAATACGCTCACCATCTTGGCTGTCACTACGAGCCGTCGCCTGTCGTCACTCGTGTCCAACCAGTTCGTGCTGAACCTTGCCGTGTCGGACCTCATGGTGGGCCTCACGCTCCCCTACCACCTCGTCTTTTATCTCAACGACGACTTCGGCAAGATCAAGTGGTCCTGCCTGATGCGCTTCATCCTGATAATACTCGCCTGCCTCGCTTCAATTTACAACATCATAGCTATCGCCGTGGACAGGTGTGGATAAGTCAGACGCCTAATTATATATTTTTTATGTTTTAGTTTAAAGTAATGGTTAATTTGCGGTCGTAGGTACATAGCCATAGTGCACCCGTTGCACTACAGCCGCTACATGACCAAGGCTGTGACGCGCCTACTCATGAGTACGACATGGTCCGTGGCGGTATGCATCAGCTGCGTGCCCGTCTTCTGGAATGACTGGGCAGACGGCGTTGCGTGCGAAATGAACGTGGTAAGAATTAAAATAATATTGTATAGATAATATTAACGAGGTTCATCAACACACTTACAATTTGTACGACAAGCTCTGCTGTCCGCCGATAGTGGAGCTTTCTATCGGTCAACAATGTATTCTATTTCCGGGGGATATCGAAGGGCTAGAAAACATATATCTCTCTTGCTTCGTGCACTAGGTATATTCACATTATACGTTGCTTTTGATTGGTCAACACGTTTTCTTCCAAGCACAGAGGCCTCGACACGAACAATACGCAAATTTATCGTAAAAGAAAAGTGACGATATTTTTTTTTAATGTAAAACTTACTAACTTAAGAAATACAAATGGTACGACAATTTGATCCGTATCGTTAGCGTAAGTAGCGAGTGATCGTGATATTTGACGAAACATATAAAGCTTAGGTTTCCTAGAAAAGCGGTGCGTTATCCAACGGCAGTAATGTAAACGTTGGGTGACGTCACCCATACGTTGTCTATAAATAACATCAGAGTAGGTTTTCTAGAGAACGTTGAGTATCACCGTAACGTCAAATAGCGGTGCTGTCATTTGCATGACGGCCGTCATAGCGGTTCAACGTTTTTCGCGTGTAGCGGTGCCCATATTGAATTAATACCAAGAGTGGAAACGTGACTTGAACGAGCGAAAATGATGTTTTTTTTGCATTATGCTGTAAGTTAACGGCACCGCTTTTCTACGAAACCTAATCTTTTAGCAACACAATCTGTCACTCCGCTTGACAAATCGCGATCAAATGTAAGCCACTCAGAATTACAATTGAATTTCCGCTTTCTTTAGAGAAAAACTTTGCTACTTTTTAAAATAATCGTTTGCCTCTTCGAAATGATTGCATCAATTACAATCACACCGGGAACTCGTTTCCAACGCTAAATTCCTAGGGGAAACTCGTAGTACCAATCACCCAGCATTACATTATTAGTAACGGAGTTTTCCTCACAAAACAAATGGATACGAACATGTAAGACAGATCCCACTCACTTTGTGTACCTCGTCTTTTGTCTATTCTATTCGCAGTCCGTCCTCGTTTGATATCAATACGTTTACTAGAATGACGGACACGTGTTGTACAGGTGGTGCCGAAGACGTACACGACGAGCATCCTGACGCCAATGTTCTCGCTAATATGGATTGCGATGTTCGTGCTGTACTGGCGAATCTGGCGCGAGGCCGCCTGCCACGCGCGTCGCCTGCGCGCGAACGCGTGCTGTCCCGGCGCCGCCAACGACTGGAAGAGCATACAGGTGGCGCCCGCCCCGGACCCCGGCTCCGACCCCGCGTGCGACATCCGTCTTTGACCTAACTTATCGTTTCAGGTGGTGCTGCTCGTGTTGGGATCGTTCTCCGTGTGCTGGATGCCGTTCGTGGTCGTAGCGTGCGCGCAGACGCTGCCTGCGGTGCGTCTGCACAGCCCGGTCGCGTACCGGCTGACCTCCTCGCTAGCCATGTCGAACTCGGGTGTCAATCCTCTCATCTACGCGTGGAAGAACGCGGGCTTCAGGGCGGCCTTTGCCAGGCTGCTCAGGTGCAGACGGCCCGACGCATCGGAGTACCGAGGGTCCCCGGCGGCCGAGAGGAAGAGGGGCTCCGTGGCGCTTCGCGAAGGCTCCGTTAACGTTTCGACGCCGCCGGCGAGCCGAGCCGGCCGAAGGGCGCGCCTGCTGCTGCCGGTCGGAGACGCCGTCGCGACCCGTTGCCGCGTCATCGAAAACGCGGGTTACGTGGATGGCGAGGGCTGCGAGCCCGCGCCCGTGCACGGGCCCGCGGAGCTCTAGTGCTCGAGTGAGGAACAATGTGGGAAACGCGAAACGCTTCTAGCTCATAGTGCGCTCGGTCGCGCTAGGTGCCGACCCGTTATTTGAGCTCAATTTTCAAAATTTAATATATTTTCCTCGAGATTAATGAATCGCGGAAGAGTTTTGTTAATATTAGAATATTTATTATAAGATTAATGAAAGAATAAAGTGATAACTTAGACGTTGGCCTTTTTTTCATATCCCGAATTAATTGGGCGGGGCTAGCGGGTGGGGAGAGCTCACCTCGAGGCCGGTGACGCCGAGAGCCGCTCGCAGGTTGGGCGTCATGCGGAAGGGCACCCTCTCGGGCACGCGCAGCGATTTGCCCTTCTCGAAACACACGTTGTAGTCGATGTGCACCACTTCACCCGTCGTCAGGTCCACTAACACGTTATCCAAATGACGGTCGCCTGAATAAAAGTCCACTAATTATTATCATTAAACATCACTGTTAGACAGAAAAGGGAACTACATCCAGTGAATAACAAAAACAAGGATCTGAAGACAAATCCTCAGCATCCTAAACTTAACATAAAGTTACATTTCTGTAATATGACCATTATACCGACTTTTATCGACAAGAAAAACATGTAAAATATACGTACCTAAGCCAATGATATAACCGATGGTGCTCATCACAGCCATGGAGTGGGAGTAGCGACGAGTCATGTGCCACCACTGGTCGGGCGAGACGCTCCCGCACCACAGCTCCCTCCAGAGAAGGTCACGAGGAGTCTCTGCAGAGAGAGCGTCCAACACTTGCTTCAAAGTAGACGTGGGCCATTCCTTCCTATTCTCCGGGGATATTCCAGCCTCTTTCAAAAGCGGATTGAGTTTTTTGTAAAACAATTCCGACGGCCTTAACACGTTCGCGGTCTTGTTAGTTTTAGACGTCAGCAGGGCGGCTTCTCTGTTCTGCCAGCGCTTATAGAGTGCAAAGAGTGGGGTGACGTTGTCCACCCAACTGATCAAGCCCGAGCGCGGTCCGAGCGGTATCACAGAGTAGTGACGGGCTCTGTACGTTTGGTTGTTGTTGTCTTCGCAGTCACGTGCCAACATCGTATTAGTAATAGACAATAGTTGCATGATTCTTTCGTCTAAATGAAGATCTTCGAGTCCTTTGAATAAGTATGTATATGCTTTTCCGTCGGATCCGTAGAAAACCAATTTCTTTGGCCTAGTTTTGGTGGGTAAAATAGCGACATTGTTTTCAATGCATTTGATAGTTATTCTCACTGTTCTTTGATTTGTATGTAAGCCAGGCATCGTAATTACGGTATCCTTCAGTTCCGATAGAACAGGGCTTATATCCGACATTTTTAAGAAGTATGAAGTTCTTCTGTTGACTTTTTGTTGCAACTTTAATTGAAATTGCTTTAATGGTGCCCATGATTCTTGCGGTTTTTCCGGATTCGATGGATTCTTTACTTTATCAATAACTTCAACGATTGTTGCTTGAAATTTGGTTTGAAAAGATATCTCGTGTGGCGTCTCTGGTTTAACCGAAGTTATCTGATGAAGTTGTTCTAGCACAAAAACGATCGGTTCAAAAATAATACGATGCTTTTCCTGAATAAGCTTTTCCTTTTCTTCAGCTACTAAGTTAGCGTTGTTTTGTACTTTGACTATTTCGTTTTCTAATTGAGAAAGGCGTTTATTGAATTCGGAGTGGTGTTGTACCAGTGTACCTAAGCATAATTCATCCCAAAGTAAGTTGATTCGTTGCAGCTCTTTCACTAACAATTTAACCTGAAGTATAGTAGTGGGCGCTTGTTTCGCAAGCGTCTGTTCCATGTCCAAGAAACAAGAGTTCAACTCATTGTTAGATGTCTTGTCGCTGGCATTGTCCTCCATATCCAGATTATCCTCGTCACTCTCAACATCGTCATTTGAAAGATAAGATCGGGGAACGTGTAGTTCTGTTATGCTGTTTTGTTCATTTTCAACAGCTCCCACGACAGCTGGAAATGTAATGAGATGTGGAGTATCTTCCGCAAGGCGACAAAGCAAATCCGACACACATTTTCTAACGTAGGTTTCAGGATGATTTAGACGGGAAAACAATTGGGGAATAATGACCTTCCAGGGCTGTGTAGGGGTATTTGCAAGACCAGACTCGAGAACACTCTGCAGCTCCATAGCATGTTTTACTATCAGCCGAAGTAATCTAAGTGTAGCATTGACTACAGCATTTTCTCCACTGTGGTTAATATAGTCTGAGGCACAAATCAGTTGCAAAAATTTGAAATAAGCATCGGCTGAAAGTTCAAAGTAGGAAAACACTCTTTTTTGTGCTTGTCGCCAAATATCCACCAGAAGAGCCAAATGTTCCGGGAATGCATTATTTAAAGATGGTACAGTGCGCAACTGATTTTCAATCATCTCTGAAGTATTTATTTCGTTCCAATCAATGTCGTCTTCATCACAAGTAGCTTTCGTTTTAGATAATATTTCACAAACAGCCTCAAAATCTTGCGGCGAGCAACCAATCATTACGCTTTCAATTTGTAATTTATCATTGTCCGTTAATTGTTCTCCGGTTTTTGAGCTAAATTCAACCATCTTCCGACCCCATCTGAAACACCATGCGGCAAAATTTGCCCAAGCTTTTGCCAACCCAGGACATTGATTAACACCAAACTGCAACAGCTTTCCTACCGCCGAGTCTGAAATGGGTATTACATTTTCTGATATGTTGTTATCAACCAAGCCAATTTCTGGAAGAGCCGAAACCAATTTGGTTAACGGTGAATCATTTTCTAAAACATTATCGTTTTCATTTTGAACCCATTTTGATAATGTCAACAACATTCTTGTAGCTTTCTCTCGAAGCTCGTAACTGTGTTCGCCTATTGCTAATCGCTGAGAAAAACTTAGAGCAATACTAGCACATAAATTAATGGCAGCTAATTTAGATTCTTCTTTAGCGTATGTAACTTTGCACAATTCAGTGAGAGCAGTGGCATTATTTAAAGTCCAAATATCAATCTCGTAAATATTATGCGACATTACGAGTATTTCTGATAAATCTTCCAAGTTGTGTATGTTAAAGGAAAGTTGAAATGAGACATTATTTCTAAAATGCTTTAACAATTCTTGCTTCGCCATTTTTAAATTAACATTCTTTCTTGCACTTTTTACAACATCTAATCTTAGACATTCATTGTAAAATATGTTTTCTTCGCTCATATTTAACTTCATAAAATATTGGTTCCACCACAAAACTTTAGTGAGATTTTTCATTTCAGTTCCATATCTGCATTCTTTGATGATTGACGGTTTAAATGGATTCACTACAGTTTTTCCAGATTTTAAACTTTGAAGCCCATGGTTAGCTAATTGAATAACAGCTATTTCCTTTAAGAAATTAATTGAATTATTTCTTGCAAATTCATCTGTACTTGAATTAAGTAAGTTTTCACGCTCATTTAATAATGTATCGTAGAAGTCATTATAGTCATCATGGAATATATTTATAGCCATTGTAGTCAGATCGGAATCTAATTTGCTAACTAAATCCTGATATGAGCAAGCATGTTTAGGTATTTCCTTAATTTCAAGATCCAAATTATTCCAGTCACAAAGATTACCTTCAATATTTTCTTCGAACAATCTCAATATATTGTATTTATCACTGTCCATTTCATTATTTTTATCAACGGTTTTCAACCATTCAGTCAGTTCTTCCCAGTTTTGTAAATTTTTGTAGCTATCTATAATGTTCTCAGTAATAAATTTTCTCAACCTAGTGTCACTTGAAATTGAGAAATCACCATCAATTTTTTTAAGGTCATTAAACTTGTTGTAGTATTCGATAGCCATTTCATACCTACCATTGGCTTGTTCAGCTGCAGCTCGAAGCCATGATAGTTTTATATCAAAAGTTGTTTTTATCCATACATATAGCCCGTGCAATACCTCAGGCTCTTGTAACTTTATGAGTGCTTGTGCTAAGCTGATTACAATTGCTTCAATATCAATATTAGATTTGTTTATGGCATTTTCAAGTAACAGAGAAGCGTGGTAAATGGTAGCTCCATAATGCCCTGCATATAAGCTTACTGCCAAAGCTGCTGGTCTAACTCGGTTCTGCCATTCTCGGCAGGTCGGCCAATTAGTATGAAAAAATGTTTTTACGGGCTTTGCAACTGCGGGTAATACAGATGCCGTGCCTTCAGCTGCATTATATGTATATTTTTCTAAAAACATCATAAACTCGATAAACCACCGTGCTCTAGTTAGCTCTACAAGAACCAAATTTAATATGGACTCAGCTCCGGCAACATATTTGTCTTCTTGGGAAGATATTTCCCTTGCAACTCCTTTTAATGCACTTTCAATTTTTGTAAATGTCTCTTGGGGTTTTCCTAAAACTGTTCGGAGTTTAAGAGAAATACAAGTGTGTGCAGCTTCAGACAGAGCCCAACTGATACATATACCTGAGAAATTTGTGGCACTTTGTCGAAAAAATAAAAGATTTGTTTCCTCATTTTCACAAGAGTGCAAAGGCCATGATAAGTTAAAAATTTCAAACAAAAATTGTTTATCATTATCTCTGACTGCCACCAGGCAATCAATTATCAATTTAAAGTGATGGTTAGGTAGTGTTGAAAATGATCCTTTCATAAGAAACTCCCTGAAAGAGTTAAATTTGGTATTACAGTTAATGACAGAAAAGCCTTCCTTGCGAGATGTATATAATTTCACAATTTGTTTGTCTAATTCTTGTTGCACTATATCCCATGGAAGCTGAAACAGCACATCCTTACAAAGTTTTGAAACAACTTTATTTCTATTGTCAAGGTGAAGTATACAGATCATCGTCAATGTTTTCAAAGGTATAACATTCCAGGTCAGGCTCCCATTTCTAAGTAAGTAAAGGCAATTTTTGATAATTTGAAGTACCAGGTCATTGTCAAAACTATAAGCCAAGTTTAACATATTTTTTGTCAAAATGAGGAATTCTTTAGATAAGCTGACTATTGGTAAATATTTGTCTAATTGACAAAAAATATCTGAAATCCAATTAACAATAAGTAGCAAAGTTTCTTTGTGAACCTGTTCATCTAGAACAATACTTAAAGTGTGTAGAATTATGCCTAAATGACCACAAGTTGGGCTGGTACTAGAAACGTCACCCAAACTTAGCTTTGACAGCCCAAATAAATCATTAGTTCTTTGGTGAGTGTTTGTCACAAGATCACTGGAAGCTATGAAATGGTTATTTTTTTTGCAATGTGAATATAGCAAATAAAGTATAGAGTACTGCAGGGCTGGTCTGTCTTTTGTTAGTGTTATATTGTGAGGACACATCTTTATTGCCAGTAACTCTAAAATACTAGGTTGTAAGGCCCACATTCCAATAATCGAATTACTTGCATTTGCCAAATCTGATAAACACTGAAGATAAAATACGATGTTCCTTTCAGCGTCATCCTTATTCAATAATTCAGAGTACTCAACATTCACTATTTGTAACTCTGGAATTATAACTGAAATTGAATTTTGGATATCTGTCAAAACATATTTATAAGCTTCTTGAAGAAGTGGAATGTTCTTGAGGTTAAGTAGATAGCTATAAATTGTCAAGAGGTTTCTTAAAATCTGTATATTTTGTGTAAATCGCAATGGTTTCAACAGGGAGTCTGGGCCAATAGTTTGTGATATAAAATCTATAGGTAGATTTGATGAAATTTCCTTAATGGAGATTGATATAAGATTAATTACACTGAGGCAGATACTCTCTTCCAAATGCAAAAAATTTTTCATTTCACTTGATATTAAAGTAAACAAGGCAGGTGCACAAGCTGATGACTTAGTCTGTAAGAGGCCTAGTAATAGTGTAATACATTCATTGCCTGATAAGATTAAATCAGTTTCAGCTTCTGGTTTTAAGACTATGGTTAATACCCGAAGAACCTTAGTTAAAGCATCAGAGATGAATGTCCAAGATACTGAATGAGACACAGTGGGACTTAGCAAAGATCCCAAACTCTTTACCACTGTGTTGAAAACATTGAAGAATGATCCAATTTTTTGCATGCATTCTTCAAGAGCAGTCTCTTCTTCTTTCTCACTTCTATCGTCTATCCCAGAGTATGCAAGCATGTCCTCAATAAATTGATTTAGTAAGTTGACTGAAAATCCAACATCTGCTTGCCAATGTCTGCTTAGTTTGAACAATGACTGCAGAGCAAACTCTTTAATCTTCTTTGGTTGGCCATTGTCTACGTGCCACCCCACCAGGATATCCACAGTATCAACAAAATGATTTGCAAAATATTCTGGATAGGAATTTGACAATACAATCATTGAATCAATTGCTGCCATAAAAACATCACAAGAATCAGTACCTTCTATGATCACCTGAAGTCTCTCTAATGCCATTTCAGCATGTTCTGTTAAGTTAGGAGTTTGCAGGTCCAACTGATAAGTTTCTAAAAATGATAGAGTTAAAAAATGCTTGATACAACTGTTGTGTACATTGTATGTAGAAGCAATCCAATCAAGATGTTTCCGAAAATCTGGTCCCATAACATAACCAATCCTGCCCAACACAGCAGCTGCACCCTTTTTAGTATCTATGCCTGGAGCATCATATAGGACATCTAACAGTGACTCAACTAATATATCATAAGATCTTCTAATATATCTAGCATTTTCTGGTAACATGACAGCCTCTTGAAGCTTACTGCATATTATAATCGATTTTTCCACATCCACTTCCGCACATAAACGACGTAATAGCTTAGATATACGGGGATCTTCAGGTAAATTTACAACCAGGTCTGACCGTTCATAAAATTTACTGTTCCCTTGAGGCCAAGTTTCATTATTCGTTGAAGCTAACGATTCGTGATATTTAAAGGGATTTTCATCACGTTCGCACCGTGGCGGGAAACCGCCACGACCTCTTGTCCCCCCTCTACCATAGCCACGAGAATGGCGAAATTCAGACACTCGACCTCGGGTTCGAAAGCGAATATCTCTCGGACCTCCGAAAGACGAGGAGGCATCATATAGCCCAACATAACCTCTGACATTATCATCCGCTGTGTTTTCATGTGTAATTTCTTCACGGTCAGGACCCTCGGAATCCTCAGATAACTTGAGGTTTTTAATTTTACTACTTGCAGTGGTAGATATCATCACTAGAATTTATAGTAATTTTGCCAATGTTATTACACATGGCCGTAAAATTGAATAAAGTTTATGTAGAAAAACTTTAATGAATACAAATCACAAATTCACAATCGTTTTCATCACATTTCCACAGAGTCAGACTAATGCTAGAAACAAGAAACTAGATCAGCATTGCTAATGTAAAAAATTATAAAATTCACAGACTATGTAAATTTACTATTCTTCACCTTCAGCGAAGTAACGTTTAAGAGGTGTTTTACCTCTCCTCATACGAATCCAGCTCATCTATTTTTTATGGAGGAGTCGAGTCGGGTTGGATTTAGAATTACGTTGCCCGAATTTGATGATACTGAGTATGTAGGTGTCTCGGGGGGACCTTGATTGGAATACCCTATAAGTCTCCTTTATCACTCTTTCAATTAACACGAAGGGAACAGTGCTCTGGATTGTTAGTTACTGAAATTGGGAATGATCTTAAACTGCCAATAAACAAGAGTATAGACAGCAGCAAACTTATTTTGCTTCATTACAAGTATAGTAGTATAGTTACAGAACCGCAGCAGTATATAATTAAGTACCTATATTACTAATTCATTATAGGCATATAATTATTATATGCCTATAATGAATGAAAACAGAAGTGATTTAAATGGAATATTTAAATCAATACTAATTAATATTAGAAAATAATAATAAATATAATATTTATTTATTTAATTTTTCAAATGTAAACTGATTTTTTAACTTAACTTTATTGACTATAATGACTCCTTTTCCAATCTTTGATTATTTAATTGTAATTAATTATTTGCAATCAAAAACTATTTTTAATTATGCCAAAGAAGTATAACTTCTTACGCGCGTACATAAGTACACGCACCCTTTTTTTTCAAACTAAAATCACTGCCATCTACTGCAAACAGTGCTTAATAACGCTATAGTCCAGTCATTACGTCGGAAAAATCGGGTTAGAAATGAAAATTAACCGAGAAAGCCAAATTTTGGTTATTATGTGGGGGCCGCTAGAAAAGCTTAAGTTCAAATTGTCGACCAAAATAACCTTGTGCAATTTCCGCGATCTTAAAAAAAGGGTTAAATTCAGTTTTTTCATCATAACTTGGTTCCCCGTTGAGATTTTTTGAAGTATACTTTTTTGTTGCTCTTGCACAACCGCAACTTAAGCTTTTCTAGCGGCCCCCACGTAATATCCAAAATTTGGCTTTCTCGGTTCATTTTCATTTCCAAATGTATATAATGACTGGACTACTAATAAAATTACACAAGTATAAAGTGTAATAAAGTGCGTTTTCCAATTACAGCACTAGAGCGCATTTTGCGGCATAATGCTCAACGTTGAGTGTTCCAACTACAGCAACGCTTCGCACAATTGAGCACTCTCAAAACGAATGCTCTCGCGTGCTTCTCGCAAACAATACCAACACAGTGACAGAAAATTGACCAGTATTTTTCTTTAAGTTGGCATTTATCGAAATTTTCGTTAGTAAATATTATTTATTGTTGAAAAATTTGTAAGGCTTTCGTTTCGTCGTAGATTTTGAAAATAATTAAAGTTATTTCAAACTGCTAAAAAAATAAAATATTAGTATGGATGAAGGTGTAAATAGTTACTTTTTTTATATTCCACATTTAAAATATGAATACAATTTTATTTTAAAATTCGGATCTGTAAACAAATTTATTTTACAGGATTATACTTTAGAAAATATTGCAATGGTTTTGAAAAAGTATATAATTTTTTTAGAAATCATTAAAAAATATTACTCAAAACGTAAATGATGTAAACTTCTTACATGAAACTAAATATTTTACTGTTAATTTAGCTTGTTAAAACCTTATATTCTTTAAAGGTTTTCTATTATTTCAATAAAAAAAATGTTAATGAAATAATTTGATCATTAAAATAAGCGTAAAAAGTTTTCAACCAATTATTATTGTTTACCACATTATTTATACATTAATGAGGTTGCTAACTCAATTCATAACATTTTTTTACAACTGACTGACTTAGCGCACTCTGCTGATGCATTTGAAAACTAATTCACGTTCCAATTAAGCTTCAGCATTATGCGGCATTGTGCGGCACTGAGTCGCATAATGCTCTGTAATTGGAAAACGCACAAAGTGAGAGTAAGATTTTATGGCCTGGTTACACTGGTGACTGGTCTTTATTTATATTTCGTTTCCAAATCAAACAGTCTTTAGTTTTTGGGTGCATACTGCATAAGTCATAACCCTAAACTTATATTTTGTTTACATGTGTCTATGCTGAATTACTTTGAAATAGATTTTTCAAAGATAGGTTTGAATTTACTTTAAAGACTATTGATATTATTATAATTTTTAAACAATTTGGCTACAGTTATGAAATCTCAGTTCAGCTTTGATTTCAAAGGTATGTCATATTATATTCTATCCGTCTTTGTTTTCTGAATGTTAATCAAGTTTTTAAATCTTACGAGTTATCATATTTTCCAGCTTTACAACTAAAGATAACTGATGCATCTACGAATCCTCACATGGTATATATAAAGGAACATTTAGTGAGAGATCATACAGCAGACAAACCTTCGGGTCGTACATTATTTATTGTGAATGTACCACCATATGTTGACGAACAAAGCATTACCAATGCTTTCAAAGAAGCTGGAACTATTCAATCTGTCCACTTTTCTGAAAAACCTAACACAATTAATTCCAACACTGAAAAATTTACAGTGGACCCATGTAAGCCTTCTTTCAGAGTTTGTTACTTAGTATTTAAAAAAGTCGCTTATTTGCAGAATGCTTTAAAATTAAAGGAGCTACAACCAATGAACTTAGATGCACATATTGTTCTAGGAATAAATAAGTTCATACATGAGCATAATGAATCAGTTTTTAAGCCCATGGAACTTAAAAATAGAATTGAGATATTTATGAAAAGGTGTGATGAGAAAATTAAGAAAGAAATAGAGAAGGAAAAGCAATTGGAACAAGAAGATGATGAAGGTTGGATCACAGTTACCAAGAGAAGTAAGGTTCAAAGCTTTGCTCGTACTGAAAAAGTTGAAAACAAAATAATGGCTAAAGAGAAAAAAAGTAAAAAAAAGAAAGAATTAACCAATTTCTACACTTTTCAAATAAGAGAGTCTAAAATGAAACACATTGTTTCATTAAGACAGAAGTTTGATGAAGATAAAAAGAAGATTGCACAAATAAAACAAAGTAGAAGATTTAAGCCATTCTAATTGCCAGTATAATAAAACATTAAAATTATAACATCTTGTTTCATCTGCATCTTTTAATCTATGGTTGAAATAATTTTGGATTTACTAAATTCGGTACCAATTAACGTTGTTTGTTATTAAAATTTGGTGGCGGTTCCAGTATTACGTAAGCACTATAGGGGGAGGGGGTCTTGATTTTCTTATTTGGTGATAATTAACTTTTTTCATATTCTGCTATTACCCATGATCATTGATCATGAAACAGATTCAGAAATGTGAGGCCAAGACCTACAGCGCCACTGTTTTTTTTGGCTTACATTGGCTATGTTTGAAACAATGAAAACTTAATGCATTTTTGAGGATCCCTACAAAAAATGAATTTATATGTACTATTTTTTATTTTTAGAGCTTGGCTTATTTTGCTGACTTTGAGGGGGGGATATCATCTGCTTACGTTATACGTGAACGGCCCCTTACTTATACAATATTTTTAAACACATTGATGTTTCCTGATGATTATTTGAAGTAGTTTGTTTTCAGGCAGTGTATCTAAGGAAGCTAGGAGATTACTTATGTTTCCATACACACAGTTATTTGCTAAAGCCACTTGGACTGCTTGCCCAATTCTATCCAAGCAATCCTGAAATTATGAAAAAAAAATATTCTTGTAGCTTATCACTGGAAAGCGGACATATGAGAATACAATATGTAATCTGATATTTAAAAATAATGAGTATTAGCAATCTTGCTCCATATGAAAAAGAACATTAGTTACAAACAAAACTTCCTTACAAGTTAAATCTCGTCATATTATTGCTGAGGAGGTTTTCAAGAAATTCTTTGACACATGCTTTTTAAGGAGTTTTAAATACAAAATGAAACAAAATATCTAGATAAGATTATGTAGGTTAATTCTATTTTAACTGCCAAACATTAAGCTAGTTACACCTAAATCAATAATTAAATAACTTAATTTCATTTAGTAAAACTTAATTGTATGAAGAGAAGGCTTTTATCATAGTAAAATTTCATACATGTATATATTGATAAAAACCAATAGTTTTTTATTAATGATATGTACATAGATAATAAAATACTGACCTGCAATTTTTTGTCATTCTGTAACTTAAAGCCTTTTTTCACAAGTTGGTGTGCATATGACTGAACCATTGGTGTCAAAGATACTAAATGTTGTGCATTAACTGATGCCGTGGGCAGATGAGATCTTTTTCCTGCTCGCAAGCTATTCAGAACTGCTAGGTGTAATTTTGTGTATAGTTCAGACTCTTTAATATAATTTGTTGTGTTTGGTTTTACTAAAAAAAACTATACTATAACATGTTATAGATTAACTAAACAAATATTTTATATATATTACTATAATATACCATGTGTTTCCCATTCTATTTTTATCTTCTTTATAGGCGGCTCTTCTTCCACAGTGTTAGCTGAGAGGAAAACAATGCTTTAACTTTCATATTAAATAACTGTGACACAGTATTTGACAAGACTGTCTGAAAGTGTTGTGTTCATATTCGTATATCATTAGATATTATATTGATTATTAAGTAGCGACTTAAATACTCACTGATAACCAGAGAATCAGCCAATGCCTACAGTTTTACTTACTATCTTGTACATAGAGAGAAGCGAGAGCACACCAGTGTATTAAACCTGCCAGTGGTGTGACAACTGCCATGGGAATAGCACCAACCGGCAGAGCTGCTGGGTTCAACTGAGCTGACATACATAAAGTTGGGTTTGAGTACACCTAGAAAATAACACTTGTTTCTTCATAAAAACTGGGATGTTACATTTTAAAATACATTTATTTTGTTTTAAACACCTTACATATGAATTAACTAGTTGTACCCTACTGCTAAATTTGTTGTAAAAATAGTATAATGTAGCCCTAAATATATGAACTATCTGGAATTTTGCATTTTAAAATACATTTATTTTGTTATTAAATACATTTTAAAATAATATATATTGGCCAATACTATGTTAGGTCAAAGACAACACTTTTCTAGGTATTGATCTGTCATACTAGCATCAAGAATTTAATATTTTTCAAGAACTCACCCATGACGTAATAACTTCTAGTAAATTCTTTGGTGGCATTTTACTAGCACCTTGACTGTCACACATATACAAGTCTGTAACTGCTGTTATAAAGTTTGATACAAACTGAGGTGCAGTTGTTGCTAATGATTTTAAACAATTCTGATTAGTTGTATTTAGGTAAAAATGATCTTGTATAACACTTTGAGCCAATTTCAGTGATTGTGGTGATGAACAGCCCATTTGTTGAAGCCATACGCCTAAAGCAAGCAATACCTAGAATACATGAAAAGTTTGAAATTATTTTGTTATATACCTAAAGTAATTCATAAAGCATATGTTATGGCTTACGGGTGTACAAGAAGCTGAGACAGCCATACTTGCTAGGATACTAAGAATCTTTAATTTTCTTTGACTTTCCATGCTGCCAAAAAGTGATAAAAATATTGTGTTCTTTGTAGTTTCATTATTACAAGTTGATATGTATTCACTAAGTATATCAATAAGTTGAAGCTCCTGTAAAGGATTGAGACCAGTTCCACGTCGGACGCCGCGACGGTCGACTTCACAAAATATAAATTCAGAAGTTATATCCATGGCTATGTCTTGCTGTTTACTAGAGGGTGCGGAACGTCCTATCAGAAGTTGTTCTGAAATGATACGAAATTATATACAAAAATTCAATTATATGAAAAAATATAATAAATAATTATAATATACCCATTTTGAACAGCGCTTCTTTTGCACAGGCAGGATATTCAAACTTTCGTAACGCATGTTTAAGATCAGATGCTGACATTTTTTATTAGACAAATCAGCACAAATATACAATTTAAAGACATAAATATAACAAAGCTATGTAATATTTCATTTGCTGTGAATTGTGATCTCTCATCTCAGTTGTTGTAACTTGTAATGATATTATTTGTTATCGTTTCAAAGAATTAGAACTACAGCATAGATAAGAAATCGTGTGAAAAGAATGGACACCTATGACCATAGTATAAATATGAGCCAAACATCATAGTGTGTATTTAAATAGGGGATTTACCTCTTAAGCTAAATATTAAATATTATTATATTATTGATATCAATGATTATTGTAAAATAAAGTAAGAAGACGGTGTAAATCAAACTAAATCTTTGGTTTTACAGCGCGTGGTAGAGGTGTGGAAAACACACCATCATTCGATGTGCCCTCAGCTACCATTCATCGTATAGTAGAAGTGGAAACACCCACAAAGAAAACTAAAAGTATCAAAAGCACTCAGTCCAACTTACCGGTCAACTCTACCTCGCTCATTAAAATTAAAGATTTAGTTTGCTTTACACGTTCTTCCTTTGTTTTAAAACAATATTTCTCGCTCGGGACGAGGTGTCTTTTTCGACATTTCCATAAAAACAACAAATTTCAAGAAGATACTCACAAAATCTCATCTCTCACTGTTAATAAATAGTGGATCTCCCGCCAACTTCGCCATAGTGAAAAATTTGGGTGCTAAATTTAATGATGTTGTTAATAGACCCAAGAACTAATGTAGAAGGTCAAGAAAATGTCATAATATCAGATGCCTGCCACATTAGCAACTCGGTAGCAGAGATGCTTTTATTTTGTAAGGATGATCTGGCTATAGAGGATTTTTTACATTCAAGTACAACAATTACATTTTTTAAATATTTAAAGAATATATATAGAGTAAGATCCCAGAGCGATAAGACACAACTTATTTTCTAAAGCATAGAACTTTCGGTTCTATGCAGTCTCTCGTGTACTTTTTAATACCTGTACGCTTGTGGAGTTGGCTCGGTGACACCTGCGCAGGTACCAGGTGATAAAGGTAACTAAAAATCAGAGTTACTTAAGTTAAATTTTAATGACTGATTTTTATATATATTTTGTAGAATATTACTCTGAAGTAATATCAAAAAAGTCAGACGCTTTCCATGCGCCAGAACTTTTGTCAGACGCTTTAAAGCTCTACAAAAAATAAATGAACTTAATTTATTTTTAAATGTCTGATTTTTATATATGTTATTCAAATAAATATTACAAAGTTATATTTAATCAGTCAGACAAATTGTAATGACCAAACATCCCCTAAACACAAAAATTACTCAACTATGAGTATGAGCGCGAGAGCACTATACATGCGTTTCAGAGCGAGTGAGACATCTAGACCACAAGCCCATGAACAAAAAATACCTGTGAAATGACCCAACGTGAATTACGCTTAGAAGGCTGTTACTATATCTGAAAATAGCTCTGAGCACTATGCCGTCATTTCTGAGCGGTACATGTGAGTACGTGAGTGAATGGACTTTCTCAGGTACAATTGGGGAATTTCGACTAATTATTAATGTACGGCTTTGTTATAAGTGTATAGATGATTAAAAATAAATGTCGAATAACCTAGTGCCGTACTAAAGTGATGGTGCCGGAAGTCGGTGCAAATTTTTAATTCGACGACAGTTGCAGAAGCAATATAGGTCATTTATTACTGTACGGCATTTGTGTGATTCCTTTTGGACACATATACAGATACTTTACCCGTAAACGCCGTACATATTTCCAGCGGAGCGGTCGAAACCCTACCCCTACACCCATATACCCTAAGGTCATTGTAAAATGTACGGCAACATGTTCAAAATATTATTTAACACGGACAATAATGTTTTATAATTATGCCGTCCAAAAATTATAGTTAATATTTGTGTAAATAAATATTTATCGAAATTTCAGGATTTACCAAGTTCTTACTGCTGTAAGATCAGAGAATAATGTACGGCAACTTGTTTTTTTTATATAATGTTACTAAATATTACCGTTGTACCTTATAGCCGTTCATTATAAATGGTAACAAATAAAAATATTATGATAAAAAATATATGAAATTTCCGAAATTTAGATGACTTTTCAAATGCTCCTAGAGTAATATGGGGAGTAATATTTTCAAAGATTATTGTTATTTTATATGTAACAAGTATAAATAAACAAAAAAAACCAGATGCCGTACATTTTACTCCAGATTATTCTTTACAGCTGATAAAAACTTCGACGACGTTTGAGGTGTCCCTTAAGGTCATTAATAACTGTACGTATCTGAGTATACTACCATAAGGCTGTAAAGTATATTTACAGCCTTATGGTACCAGCAGAGAGAGGTAAAGGAAAAATATTTTTAACAAAAATAAAAATATGATACAGGGCGTCCCAAAGTTATGGGACATGAAGGGAAAGTACCTTAAATATCGTAGATAGGGTATTTTACTAAAAGAAGACTTTATGTTATTTTTAAAAGTTAGTAATTCTGCATTCAAAGATTTTTTTTAAATTACTTGCCTCGTCTGGAAATCGAACCAGCTTAAATTTAAAAAAAAAACACCCCTACTTTTATGATGCCAATCGAAAGAATGGCCAAAACCTAATAACTTTTCTAACCGGAAAATGACTCTTTTCTGAGGAAAGTAATTTATTCCATACACCTATGTGTTCCACAAAAAATGTACGGCATGCTGGAAAATATTATCTATTTGTGAAGTACTCTCAAGATCATTTAATTTTATGTTGTTCTATATCATCATCACCTATATGCTAATCAGACATATGTTGCGACCCTTGGCTTTCGACCGCTCCACTGGTAATATGTACGGCGTTTACGGGTAAAGTATCTGTATATGTGTCCAAAAGGAATCACACAAATGCCGTACAGTAATAAATGACCTATATTGCTTCTGCAACTGTCGTCGAATTAAAAATTTGCACCGACTTCCGGCACCATCACTTTAGTACGGCACTAGGTTTTTCGACATTTATTTTTAATCATCTATACACTTATAACAAAGCCATACATTAATAATTAGTCGAAATTCCCCAATTGTACCTGAGAAAGTCCATTCACTCACGTACTCACATGTACCGCTCAGAAATGACGGCATAGTGCTCAGAGCTATTTTCAGATATAGTAACAGCCTTCTAAGCGTAATTCACGTTGGGTCATTTCACAGGTATTTTTTGTTCATGGGCTTGTGGTCTTATCCATGGTAACTCGGTTCCCCTTCTTAAACTCACAATCTGTTTCAGTCTACTGTTTGTGTATGTGTAGACCACATGTTTTTGTAAGTTATATCGTGTGATTTGTAAGTGATATCAAGTTATTTTCAATAGACAATATGAAAGGATCCTCGGAAGCATCTTTAAAATGTACATTTTGTAAAAAATCTCATGATAAATTAATATTATTTTCAAAAGAGACGTTTAAAAAGTGCCAAAATATTTTAAAACAAAGAACAATCCATAACCTAAAATTCAGAGACGTAGTTTTACCGGATGATTTGTACGACAGTGGTTACCATCGTGAATGTTACAAATGTTTTACTGCTTTGCCGAAAAAATATTACTCTCCAATCTCAGAAAAACAAAAAAATGATCCAAAAAAAAAATTCATCGGGTATTGTTGAAAATCAATCTGTAGCGTCGGCATCAAGCTCATCAAGTATTGATATCACTAATAATGATGTATGTACAGCATCTACCTCAAGTCAACTAACTGATTTTCGAGCTGCGGATTCTGCTATAGGTAGCATCAAACATAAGTTCAGCTAGTACTGTACCTGAACCCATTGTAATACCTGAGCCAGCTGTTGAATTAGAATCAGTTGAACCGGTCCCATATAATTCTGAAGAACCTTCTGTGGCGTTTGAGTGTGTTGTTGATTCTCCTTCTAACAATGTTTCATTTGAAAGTGATTTAAGTGCTGGTGAAAATCACACATGTATATATTGTGATCAAAAGACTAAAAGACACAAACTAAAAAGACTACCATTGCATGCGTCTGATAAAAATGATTTTTTAAAGAAATTGAATGAAGGGGAGACTCTGCGGAATTGATTGAGAAAGTTGAAGATGTTACCGATTCAATAATATATTATCACAATAAATGTCAATTGGAGTGGGGTTAGGGTTAGGGTTGAAGGACTCCTTTCTCCGCAATTAGACTCGAGGTTGGTCCGTTGTGCGTACGAGTCCTGGCTAATTTAGCCAGCCTAGCTCCTTCCAGAAGCACAGAAGTCTCCTGGGCACTTCACAGGCTTCCCGGAGCGACCTCACCGTTCCGAGGATTTTTTCACGTTGATTAGCCACAGCCTCGCATTCCAGGACTACGTGGGTGACTGTTTCCTCTGCGTTGAAACAGCCTCTGCACAGGGGGCTGTCTGTCGCGCCTAGGATAAAAAGATGTTTATTTAGGAGGCAATGACCCGTTATTGTCCCTATCATTATTTTAAGGTTAGTTCTATTTAAGTTAAGTAGTCGCTTTGTCAGTTGCGGGTTTACTGCTGGCAAAGCCACTTTGGACTGTCTGCAGGCCGCACCATGCGACCATCGTTGTTGCTGGAGTTCAGCGGATCTCTGGCGAATCCAGGTTCGCACCAGCGAGAAGGGCAAAGGAAGGAGCGGATACGGGCCAGCCGGCATCATTCCGGAGCCTCTTCTCGCAAGCTCGTCCGCAGCATCATTGCCGAGAGATCCACTGTGTCCCTTTATCCACTGCAAGGTAACCCTATTGGTTCGGGTTATGTCCTCCAGTGCTTCATGACACTCCAGTATTAGTTTGCTGTTGGTTTGTTTGTTTCCGAGCGCCATCAGCACGGATGCACTGTCGGATACGAATTTAATGCCAAAGTCATTAATCCCTAGCCGCTGCACGGCTCTGGCTGCTTCGGTTAAGGCGACACATTCACATTGAAAGATCGTGCTCTGTGTGCCCAAGGGTAGGTGTATGTTGATGTTGAGATCAAGAGAGAATATGCCAGCGCCTGAGCCAGACCCTGTTTTGGATCCATCTGTATATATACGTAGCTCATTTACGGTCGACCGATCATGTTCCTCTTCTCTCAGTTGTATAAGATATTTCCTGTTAAATATTAATTGGTTAGTGATTCTATCACAGGGCGCAGCAATAAGAGGTTGATACTCTATTGCCCTGTTGAGAATCGCTGTGTGTGCACTGTAGTGATTTTTTCCCCATAGATCCAGTACCATAAGCCTGATAGCAGCCAGGGCTGCCTCCTGCTGTATGTGTAGGTCCAGGGGTAAGATCTGCAGGGCCATCTCCATTGCTGCAGTTGGTGTTGTTTTCATGCAACCGCTAGCAGCAGACAAAGCAAGCCTTTGGAAGCGTCCGAGTTTGGTAATTGCCGTTTGAAGTTCTGTTCTGGGCCACCAAACAAGGGCTCCATAGGCTAGCATTGGCCTAATTATGGCAGTGTATATCCATAATGTTATCTTAGGCGATAAGCCCCATTTCACGCCTAGCATCTTTTGCATTGATAAAAGGCGATCGTTGCTTTGTTTAGTTTGTGTTCTAGATGTTTGTTCCAGAGCAGTTTACTGTCCAAAATCACACCTAGGTACTTGATTTCATACTTGAGTATGAGTTCAGTGTTGAAGAGTTTCGGAAGTTTGTACGGTCCAAGAACTCTTCGGTTGGTAAAAAGTATTAGTTCTGTTTTTGATGGGTTGACAGATAACTCGTGCTTATTGCACCATCTCTCAATCACTTTGAAAGCTCTTCTCATGAGGTCACATAAGGTGCTTTCAAAGTTCCCAGATATCAAGATAGCTATGTCATCAGCATATCCCACAGTGTAGAGATTGTCAGCGTTGAGTTCTGTGATTAGTTCATTAACCACAAGGTTCCACAGTAGCGGCGATAGAACACCTCCCTGCGGACATCCTCTGCTGACAATGCCTCGTGTTGTGGAGTTTACCGTGAACTGTATAGCCCGTTGTTTTAGCATGTTGTTTATCCATTCTATAAGGGTTGATGGTACTCCACATAACCTTAGTGCTCTGGTTATACTCGTGAAGTTCGTTTTGTCAAAAGCACCTTCGATGTCAATGAATGCACCCAGGGTTGACTGCTTTAACTTCAGGGAGTTGCCAATGCGAGACACGACGTTGTGGAGTGATGAGTCCGTTGATTTGCCCGAGCTATAGGCATGTTGATTAGGGTGTAGGAATTTGGATAGCGATACCCGGCTGCGTATCTCCAGGTCTCCTAGCCTCTCCATCGTTTTTAAGAAGAATGAAGTAAGGCTAATAGGCCTGAAGGACTTCGCTTGGGTATAGTCCTCTTTACCTGGTTTTGGGATGAATATGATTTTTACTTCTCTCCATTTCAAGGGTATGTATCGGTGGGCTATACAGGCTCGGAAGACAGAGACAAGATAGTCTACTATTAAGTTCCCACTCCATCTTAGTAGACCTGGGAAGATGCCGTCCAAACCGGCCGCTTTGAATGGAAGGAAGGAGTTGATTGCCCACGTTACTTTTTCATTAGTGATTATTTTGTGAGCTACTTGCCAGTCTGAGCTGTCGGTGGCTCTCTCTGAGTATGGTTGCCAGGGGCCTTAGTCAAGATGCCTTAACAGTAGTGTATGTAGAAAGTCAAAAACTTAATTTGTATGGAAATGACACTTCGTGTCGAAAGTTTTCATACAAATTTAGTTTTTGACGTTCTACATACACTACTGTTAAGGCATCTTGACTAAGGCCCCAGGCCTGTTCGTTGGCAATTATGCAACCCGGAAAGTGTGTTGCCAGTAGTAGTTCACATGTTTCCGAATCAGTTTTTTGTAAATGAATTGTCAGGTTTTTTAAGACAACCGATCGAGTGATTGGGCTCTCTGGAGAGGCATGATTTCACCCTGGTTGCCTGGTTGTTTGTTTCAATACTGGTGCAGAAGTGTCTCCAACACTCCTGCTTCCTAGTACGTAAAAGTTTTTTGAATCGCCTTCTCGCGACCGTGTACTTGTCCCAGTCGGTGGGTAACCGTGTGTTCATTGCTCTATTGAACAGCTTCCTGACCTTCCGTCGGTGTCTCTCCAGTTCGGGGCACCACCAGTTATGTCTCCCTCCCCATCTTGGTATGGTAAGGGGACACGACCGTTCATAGCTTGTCAGGAGTAGGGACGTTAGGTTGTTTACATGTTTGTCTATGTCTTGTATATTTATGGTGGTTGGTATCGATAGTTTGTTTACCTCAGAGCTGATAAGTTTATAAAATTTTACCAAATCGGTTCTCCGCGGTATACGTCTAGGTTGAGGTTTAGGTAGCTCCCTTTGATTGCAAAGCGGATCCACCTATGATCCGAGCATGATAACTCGTTGGATACGTGCCAGTCCTGTATGTGATCTGACAGACCAGCAGTTACCATTGTTAAGTCAATAATAGTTTGCGAACGCGCGTTGATAAAAGTTGGTTTTGAGCCATTGTTTGCCAAGATAAGGTTATTGCTAAGTATAAAATTAAGCATATCCTCACCTCGAGTGTTGGTACTAGCGTTACCCCATAACGTGTGGTGCGCATTGGAGTCCGCCGCGATGATTAGCTCCAGTTTCTCCCTCTCACAGTAGTCAGCCAGAAGGCCGAGTTCTGGAGTGGGCACGTCCTCGTCACCTGGTAAGTAGGCGGACGCCAGGACGACGTCTGGTTGATTGTCTCTGGGTAACCTAATAGCTGTAAGGTTCCTTGAACAGAGTTCGTTTATTAGAAATGCTGGTACATGTTTAGGCAAGATTATGCAAGTTCTAGGGTTACTTACGGAGGTACCCAGTAAAAGTTTACCACCGGTGCAGCCCAGGCCGCATATCTTGCCATTCCTGATCCACGGCTCCTGGATCGCGGCGATGGTCTTCGGATTGGTCTCCAGCAGTCTGCGTAGGGAAGCCGACGCTGTCTGACTGTGCTGGAGGTTAGCCTGGATGAGGTCAGTTCGGCGATGGGGAGGAGCGCAGACAGCTGTCGCTGAGTTCACTCCCCCCGGTCTCCTGAAACAACTCATCATCCGATGTTAGTTGCACCGGTGACGGTGGTTGTGTAGCTACCTCCATAGGGACGTGTGCCCCGGTGACCGAAGCCGCCCCCGTCAGGGACGTGGGCAGCCCCGGCCCCGACGACGCCACCCCCGATGTGCTGGCAGCAGTTGGTGGGGCGTTGGCCACCTGCGAGGGCTCATCCCTATCCAGGATGCGGATATAGATGTTCCCCATCAGGTAGTATAAACGCCGATTATGCTCTTTGATTTTAGAGATCTCAAACTCCGGCACACGAAAGAAGAGGGACACGCCTGTCGGGTCCTGAGTTCTTCGTTCGTGTGTCAGGGTCCAGGATCTGATGTTGAGGTGGCGGTTTTGCCTCGTGATCAGTTTCCTCAGTGTCTCCGTGTTGCCACTGTAGTCTGGTACATGTAGCAGACACGGAATCCTGTTCGGAATCGCCGATTGAGGCCGAACCACCAACCTGGTGTCAGGTACTGGATTTGTGATGACATCACAAGTTCCGGTCAGCCAACCCAGAGTGTAAGTGTCCTCGCACCAAGTTTTGAGGACACCATCCGAGAAATGGGCCTTACCCCGGAACCTGATGTCGTTGGGCTCGGTAGTTAGGGTAGCATCAAGATCCGCCAGGAGCTCATCTTGAATTTTACCCTCGATTTGTAGGCGGATGTTATCCGCCTGTTCCTGTGTCATATCCACGAAAGGCTCAGTCATCACGGCAACACAAAGCTCGTTAGCTTTGTATGATGCTGCCGCTTCCGCGTAACTGGCCGAGGTCCCTGCCACTTTCTGGGGTCTGTTGGGTTTGACCCTTTTACTTTCCCCAGTCGGTGTTACGGTTTCCTCAGGCCGGTCACGCTTCTGGCCCTTCGTGGCTTGGTTTGTTTTGGAACTCTTAGGTCCCTTGCCGCACCCAGAGCAGCTAGGCACGGGCGCAGCAGTGGATCTTTTAGGCTTCGGTGTCCTTTTCCCGCCTCTCTCAACTGTGGTTACAGCGGGGGCAGTTCCAGGTTTCACAGGTGGCCTCGGAGCGCCGGTGACCAGCTTC